GTATTTAGGGGAACATGGCTCATTTCAAGCAAGACAGCTTCTTCTACCCCTTAATCCAAAAAAGAGGCAGAGCTCCCACAGTAGGGAAAAAAGAAGGAAAGTTATACAAAAAGATAAAAAGCAGATCTCTAGCTGCTGGGGGTGGAAATTAAGGAGTCAAATCTAATGTTTACACTGCGCAGTGTAAGAAGCACAGAGGGGTTGTCGCCAGCAAATGTTGCCTGTTTTCAGTGGTGTCTAAATGAGCCACAGGCTCCCCAGCCCCTTTGCTGTCCACGGTGTCTCCTTTACTCTCCTGAGTACTACTGGTGAATCCTGGTGGTCCCCAGTCTCTGCTGGTTGTTATTGACTTCTATGGAAATCCTTTTTTCTGCAGCCTTGAGACCCAAACACCAGCAGCAGTTTAAATTTCATTAGGCTCATCCCCACACTTGCTGCTGCCATAATCCCTTGTTTGGGGGCCTGCTGGTCTAGACACTGCCCATGACCTGTCAGCGAGTGTGTTGTGATAATAGAAGCAGTGCCTGGAGGTTTCACTAGGCAGTGCCAGCTACATCTCCACTTGGGCCAGCTTTACCACCTCTTGTATCAGACAGCAGTGATGCTTTGCTCCTCTTTGTGAGCAATTACCTTGTAATGGCATCAACTAAGGAAGTGTGTAACAGCCAGGAGCTTTGAATACACAAGGATTGTTTCTCCAGAAACCAGCATTAATGCAAATCCCAGACATGAGCCCCACAACACTGTCATGTATGTTATTAGTCCCAGCTGGAGCATGGGTTCCTTGGGCAACCTTGATGACACACAACCACTGATGAGCTGAAATGAGAAAAGGCAGAGACACATTGTTCAGATGAGTCAGTACACACCCAAGCAGCACCTGCTTTTGCTCAGACATCACAATATGCTGTTCGACAGCTGTGTGCATCTCAACTCCCCTTGGAATACAGAGAAACATAAAGACATTGCCCAAAAACTACCCAGAAAGGATGGATCTGGTCTTCTCTGGAGGTCTTAGCAGCAGCAGAGGTGGTTGAAAGAGGCAGCATCCTTTTTCTCCCTCTCCTGGAGAGGAGCAAGGGATACCTTCACTGAGGGCCACCCTGGAGCCACAGGGCTGTGACTCAACATGATCCCAGAGGGGATAGGAGAGATAAAAGGAGGATAAAAACACCATCCAAGTGCTTTGTGTTGCAGCAGATCCCTGGGCTCCCACGTGAGCTGGCAGTATGTCACCCACCACCAGCCTGCTGCTCTGGGTCTCGCTGAGAGGCCCCAGAAGAGGGACAAGGGGCTGGAAATCCTTCCCGAGCGTGGCTCCCATGCTCAGCCAAGCTGGCCACCAAGCACTCAGCAGGGCCTTTGCACACAGGGGATGTTGCTCCATCCTCATGCTAACCCACTGGGAGTTTTTCAGGAGCCCTGGAGAGACTGCAGGGAACACACACACACCGTAAAATAAAACACTCGGCACAGTCTAATATAATTTAACTTCCAGGATTGCTTCCACATCCAGTTTAGTCAGAAAATCAAGATTGACACGGCTTAAATCTTCTTTTGCACAATGAAAAAGATGTCACTCAAAATGTATGTTTCCCTCTGCAGGGCTTCCTGCACAATAAATAAGCTCTCCTGGTCCTCCTTCCTCTCTCCCCTTATTCCCTGGGATGTGATTCAAATGGGCAGAGAATAGAGCCATTAGAGGACAAAATAAAAAGCCACAGGATGCAATAATTCAGGTTTTAATACAGTTTTAAACTGGGAGTTTGATTTAGAAGGGAAATGAAGACGCAGGTCAGTGGAAGGATCATTCCCTGGCTGGAGTCAGGTTGTTTGGTTCCCTCTCTTCTCCTCCGCCCTGAGCTTGCAGGTTTGGCCTCTTGTCTGCTCAAATGTGGGGATACCAGAAGTTCACGGAGCAGCCCTGCTCCTATTAAAACTGTATTGAATTAATTAGAAGTGAGGGATGGGTCTGGTTTCTTTTTAGTTCAAAAAACAGAGGCAGGAAATCTCCAAGCTCACAAACTCCATCCTGGCCAGTCACTCCCAGCACACGCCAGGTCTAATCCTTCCCCTGCAGTGCTCAGCTCCAGCAGGCTGACCTGCTCCATCTTACTCCACCAAAAAAACCCAACAACCTGTATGAAACTTCAAAATGATGGAGAACAGCTCCTAGGAATCAGTAACAACAATAAAAAAATCATTTTGACAGCCACTTTGCCCATCATTTGTTTTGCAGCTCATCTGTTTTGATAAGCATGTGCCCGGGGAGGCACAAGACAGCAGCAGAAGGCACCAGGTATCAGGCAGAAAAGGGCATTTTCATGCTGTGTGAGGTGAAATTTAGCATGTTGCCACGTTTCAAATTCATCCCCAGGAAGGGGACCCAACAGGGCAGGATTGCTATGCTAAATCTGCTTGATCCCTTGTCTGATAAAATTGAGGCACTTGGATTAAGAGTGACAAATACAGGTCAGGGTGTCCTAATCTACGTGGCACAGACCAGCCTGGCGTGCTGCCCACCTGGGATTTCCAAATCTGACCCTACCTGTCTCCAGTGCACTCAGCTTTGTGCTTAATAGAGCTCTAATTGCAGTGTGATTGCACGTGATATTACAGCATTACCACAGTTTACTTGATGGACTGAGGTTAAGCAGGTATTTCTCCCAACATGTATTCTTGCTGCTATAGATCCCTACCTCAGTGTTATTTGGCACAGCATAGTCTGAGCAACAGAAGCAGAGATCCCTCATCAGGAGAAAATCCCTTTCATTTAAGGTGTTGGTAAATTTAACAGGCAGATGTGTGAGACTCTTCAACTTGGCTGTGGAAAGAATCTAGATCCTGATGTTTTTAAAGAGCTGCATGCAGGGGTAAGCAGCTGGGAAGTGCCAGCACGTGGAAGTTTCTGCAAAAATAATGATGTGCACAAATGGACTTGTGTTGGGAGCCAGTTGGGAAGCTGCTTTCACAGCCTGAAAATACAGCTAATCCTGTATGGGCACTGGGAAAGCAGATGGAGCTGTGATGTTGGCACCTCTCCCTTAACCCAAGGCTGATGGCTGGACAGGCAGAGCCTGGAGGGCTTCTCCTGGGAAGGGTCTCCTGGGCAGTTATGGGTGGGCTGCTCCAGCCAGGGCAAACCAAAGGTCTATCCAACAGAGAAATTAATCTCTGGAGGTGGCCAAAAGCAGGTGCCCAACAATGTGAAAGAGCAAGGCAGGCATCCAGCTTTCTCTCTGAGCTTCCTGGTGGACCTCCCCACTTCTCCTGTGCCACATGTCAATTCTGTGCTGTCCCCAGCAAAGTCCCAGCAAATCTCCTTGGGGCAAGATCGGACACAGGTCAAATGTATTCACTTGGTGACATCTGAATTGCTGCAGGCTGTCCAGTGATGGATTACATCTGTGATCACAATGAGCAGAGAGCAGCCAAAAATATTCAGATTGAAATAACAAATTCACTTGGACAAGAGAATAAAAACAGACACTCTAGTCCTCTTTCCAAAACATGTCCCTTCAGCTGCCTAAATCTTTACTGAATAAATGGCTTTTTGCAGCATTCCTGGAAGATGCTCTCATACATCATGCAGGCTGATGTTAAAAGAATATAGCCATGTCCATGGGTTATGTGTTTAATAAAAGAGCTGGCACATGGAGCTGGACACCAGGAATCATTTAATCTCTGTACAAATTAGGCAGTGGCTCTGCTAGTGATGACACCACAAAAACAGGGCACAGACACTTCTCTCCTCTGTGCCTCTTGGAGGAGCAACAGGGATGGGGAGGTGCAACCACAGCCAGACCTACTCCTCCTGGGCCACACATTTTCTGTGCATCTCCTCCATGAGCTATGGCACAGTCCCTGTGGGATGAGAGCACCTGGGTTTGGGACTTATCCACCTAAATATTTCCAGTCCCAAAGCATAAGAAGCAGCCTTTGACTCCACGTGCCACATCCTCATTGCACTGATGGGGAGCAGCTCTGTCACAGCTCTGCAGCTTCCCAGCCCTTTGCAGGTCAAGTAAAGGGCAAGAGTGATGCAGCTCTTATTCTCTGTAGAACAAATTTGGGATATAAAAAATTAACAAAATTATTTTATTTAACCTTGATTTTATTCAGCCTTGATTTTATTCTTGTCTTTTATTGTGTTATGTTTTAACTGAGATATCTTTATTTCCGGCTCCGATTCTGCCAGATCCTTTCATTTCATACAGAGGCTGAAATGCACATTACAAAATGAACCTAGTCTTTCCCTCTACTTTTTTATCTAGCTTGCCAAAAGCACTCTACCAACAGCACTTTGATCCTTCAGAATTGTTACAGTTTAATTTCCATTGTTTGTTGTCCCTCTGCAAGGATCTGGAAAGGAAAAAAAAATAAACACCTGCTCTTTCTCTGCTTATCCTTGAATTAATCACTATTATTATGGCAATGTCTAGACCCAAACTTCTTGTAATGACTGTCTCAGGTATTTCACAAAAGCAGAACAAAAGGACAAGCCCTGCCACCAGAAAGCAGCTCCTGAAGTTGTTTAGTAAAGACCATGGCCAGCAGCTCTGAGTAACAAACTAATGGGATGATAGTGTCCCTGCTTCCTTGTTTCCCTGGGTGAAAAACAAACACTAACTGTCTCTGCAATGCTTTGGACAAAATACCAGGTGCCACAAGGGCACGAAACGCACAGACACAAACACAACTTAGCTGAAGCCCATGTCTGAGCTAGGTGTCAGCAGCCCTTTATCTGCATCAAACCTTCCTCTGCTCACAATGTCACTGTCCCTGTGCTGATTGCTGCTTCTCTATTGCTGTTGTGCTCGTTTTTTCAATCATTTGCAGGCTGGTTGTGCCTTGGAGTTATTATTCTTTGCACAACAGCAACAGCAGAACCAAGTGAGGCCTTAAGAAAAGAGCTTACAGAGCTAAGAACCCTACAGACAAGTCCCTTTTCACCCTGAAATGGCTCACAGAAGGTAATGAGCTTCTTTCATCCCTTGCAGGTGCTGTGGTGATTGCCTTCGTGGTCTGCTGGCTCCCTTACCACATACGGCGCCTCATGTTCTGCTACGTCCCCTCCAGCCACTGGACAGAGTGAGTCCTGAGGGGGGGGATGAGCTCCCCTAATCCAGGGCAGAGTGTGGGGCCAGGCTGGAGCTGGGGCACCATCAAACTGGGGGATGGAGGTGGGATCTTGCAGCACAGGCCTCTACCATGTGAGGGGTTAAAGGTTCAACCTCCTAATTGTTGGGTTGTTTTTTCCTTTTGGATTCCCTACTGCTCTGGCCAGCCAAGCTAAGGGTCCTGGCTTTCTCATCTGCATCCCACAGGGGTAGGTGGAGGAAGCATCATCAGCCCTTCCGTCATCTGTAGCTACAACCACAGGCTTGCCCCCTTTCAGAGCAGTGATTGACATTCACCTCTGATGGCCCTTTATGAAGTGACATTTGGGCATTGGGGGGTTAGGCTTCCGAAGTGGATTGTTGTCTCCATGGCAGAGTTATCAATCACCAGCCCTACGAGGGAGCAGCTCCTGCAGCTCCACCACTCCACATTGCCTTAGTGACAGGAGAGGTTACAGGAGTAAGGAAATAACTGTGCTGCTCACCTAATCTGGGGCAGATTATTTACTGGGTTTTGCAGGGAATGGATCAGAATTAAATGCTAGTAGTTCAGAAATGCTGATCAGAAAATGTCCAGATTTGCAGAAGTTGTGGGATAATTGCACTCCCAGACAGAACACACCTGCTCTGTGACATGTGCCAGGGCACACAGGCAGCTCCACGCAGCCTTTCTGCTGTGTCAGACCAGGTTCTTCAGCAAAGCAGCCACAGAACTGGTTATTAATTTTAAACATGCAATTAAGCATTAATGGTGTCTGGGGATATACACCCAGGTAGCCTGAGATGCCTTGAGATGTGCTCAGGGACACACGTGTCCTTCCTCCCGTGGGATCCATCCCTCCCTCTGCTCCCTGGGACCGGGTCTGTTTCTTGCAATGAACAGGAAAAAAATCTGCAGTATCAAAAAACAGAACAACTATGAAACACTGAAAGTTCATAAACTCCAAGCATAAAAAAATAGGCTTTTATTCTAGAACAGTCTACTGAATGGAACTGTACCTCCCTCTGTAGTAAAACCCAAAGCCTATCATGAAAACAGAGCTCTAGGCACACACTGGGACAAACTGTTGTTTCCTGTTTGCTTTCCTATATGAAAAGCACTTAAAGCAGCCATCAGTTATCTAAAGACTGCATTTGCTTTGGGGGTGAGAGAAGTCTGTCCTCAGTTAGTGTGAATTTATGCATTTTGGTTCCATTCACATACATCCTTCCTCCCGTGGGATCCATCCCTCCCCCTGCTCCCTGGGACCGGGTCTGTTTCTTGCAATGAACAGGAAAAAAATCTGCAGTATCAAAAAACAGAACAACTATGAAACACTGAAAGTTCATAAACTCCAAGCATAAAAAAATAGGCTTTTATTCTAGAACAGTCTACTGAATGGAACTGTACCTCCCTCTGTAGTAAAACCCAAAGCCTATCATGAAAACAGAGCTCTAGGCACACACTGGGACAAACTGTTGTTTCCTGTTTGCTTTCCTATATGAAAAGCACTTAAAGCAGCCATCAGTTATCTAAAGACTGCATTTGCTTTGGGGGTGAGAGAAGTCTGTCCTCAGTTAGTGTGAATTTATGCATTTTGGTTCCATTCACATACATTTTTTTTTTTTTTTTCTTTTAAAAGCCACGAGAGATTTTAGGAAAGCATTGACTTTAAAGGCACATTATGAATGGTGAACTATCAGCATGGCAGCTAATGAAGAGCCTGCAGCAGCCTGATGTGTTCATTTATAAATGCATGTGCCTGCCCCTGAAGAGGAGAAAATCTTGCTATATTAATTCTTCACAACTAGATAGAGAAACTCAGCTTGTAAGAGCTGGATGGGCCATGCAGTGCTTGGCAGTGCTGAGGGGGTGTGGAGGGGTTAGTGATGTACTCCAGCACACATCTATTTGTCTTTTGTTAGACAGTGCTCAGAATAACAAAAAGGTCTGTATTTTCCACAGATAAATGATCCTGGGGAACATTTTCCTGAAAATGAGGCTCACCTTGTTCATAAACACTTTACCAGCTCAGAGCTGTTGATCTCAGCTGTCCCTAGGAAAGAGATTTCCAAAAAAACCCCAAAACCAAAAGCAAAACAAAACCAATCTAAACATTTTCAACTAATTGTAGCTGAAACCATTATGTTGTGATGCTCAGGATATTTTTCAAACTCTTGCTATCATCAGCTCACCCCCAGAACAAGGAATACTCTCCCAGATGACAAACCAATTCCAACCCAGGGATCCATTGCATGAGCTGCTGTAGCTCTGGCTGCCAAGGAAGGAGGAGAGAGCTGTGTCTGTTCCTGGAGCTGGGCTCCTCTGCAGCTCTGTAGACTAGAACTGCAGTGAGAAAAGTCAAACTAATGTATATGCATGACACAGAAACAAGTTTCCATCTGGCTTCTCAGTTTCAAGAGTGTCTATTTCCAAAGACAGAACAAACACATGTGGTAAATATTACATCCAGACCCAGGGCATACATGAATTTCTAACACCTAGTGGTTGGGGTAGGACCTTTGTAGAGTCACTGACCTCCTTTTGGCCAGTCCCAGTTGAAAACAGATGTTTTCCTGGTGGCACCATTGCTAAGCTCATGTCCTGAGCCAAGGAAAGTGAACAAAGAGTTCATGGTTTTCTCATTAATTGTATCTCTGAATTATTTCAGTTCTCCCCACTCTACTTAGACTTTTATCTTCATCTGTTCTTCCAGTTTCCTTTTCAACTTCTACCACTACTTCTACATGCTGACAAACGTCCTCTTCTACGTCAGTTCAGCAATCAACCCCATCCTCTACAACCTGGTGTCTGCAAACTTCCGACAGATCTTCCTCTCGACGCTCACAATCCTGTGCCTGCCATGGAGGAAGAAGAAGAAACGACTGGCCTTCACCAGGAAATCCAACAGCATCTCCAGCAACCACACATTTTCCAGCCAGGTCACAAGGGAAACTACTTACTGAAGCCAAAGGAGGAAGGGAATTGCAAGATTCATCATGGAGTCGAAGCCTGTGAGAGGCCTCTGTGACTTTCATGCATGGTCTCCAAACCCACGTGACACAAATGTGTTTAGCAAAGTCATTGTTGTTGGAAAAATAGGCTTCGTTCTGCCAGTAACTTTGAGGTTCTTTTAAAGCATTGGCCTTGCCTCTTGTGAGTGATGTATACACGTTTTGTAACTTCAGTCTGGCATAAATCCAGGTGCAGTGTTAACTGGGAAGCCAAAACATGTTAAACTTCAGCAAAATCCTAGTGCATTTCATCCTTGTCTCGATGCAGAGATGCCATGTTCACATCCAAGGGTTGAGATCACGTCTCTTGGTGGCACTGAGCAGAGAGGCTGATGAGAAGCAAGCAGTTTTGAACAGAAAGGGATGTATTTGGAGAATGGACATGCTCATCTATGGGATGTTCAATTAACAAGGAGTGAAAACTCAGGGAGCCAGGTGGTTATTTTAGAAATATATCTGAATTGGGATTAATATGACCTAGGTGCTCAAGAGAGCCACTCTGGCTCCTTGAAATTAAACAACAGCAGATGATGCCTTACCTAGATTGGGGTGGCTGTGGCCTGGGGGAATGGGGTTTATTTTTCACCTAAGGGCACACACAGTGCCTTGCACAGTGAGCCCCCTCTCCCACTGCTATTACTACTGCTTCACCCACAAATAACAGAGTCTCTGGCAAAGTCAAGAATGCAGAAACTTTGCCCAGCTGGAGTGCTGAAAATGAACAGAAATGGAAAATCTTCCTTTTTTCCACACAGCTGAATCTTATTTTTTACCAGGAAGAACAGTTAGCTGGCCTGCATGAAGAGGTGAGAAAGCCCCAGGCTCACAAGAGCTCCAGGCTGCTGAGACAGGAGCAACCTGCCCCAATTCTGTGGGACTTTCAGATTTTCCCCATTCCAGTTTTACTTGCTTCCTCACCATTCCCACATGCTGACATCTCATAGTTTATAGCAAGACACTTTAAATGTTTCTGGGGAAGGCCCAAATTTTTTAACTTCACCTCTAAATAATCAACAGCTGGGAGGTGGTTTCTGAAGCCTCCCACAGAAGCTGTAGCTCTGTGTTGCTATGAGCTTCATTAGGATTTAACACCCTGCGTGTTGCTTTTGAAATGTGAAACATTATTAATGCACTTGTTCAACACCGACCTGCTGAAATGTGCTTGATTACCTTAGGAAACACTGTACAAACCCCGTGGTTTCACAGAAGATGCTCAGGTTAGATTTTCATTGCTGAGATCTCCTGGCAGCTCACAGAATGCTTGATCACAGCTCAGAGGAAGGGGTAGGTTTATTTTTTGGTCTGACACTAAAATGGGAACAAGCTGGAGTAGAAAGAAACTGAGCACAAACTCCTTAATGTTTGTTGGGCTGCTCGAGTCCTGAAGAGCTGACTATTTGCAGGGATTTATCCAAGTCTTTTGCTGGCTCCCACAGCTCTGTTCCTGCAGCTGAACACAGGAGCAGACCTAAGTCTGCACCCTTAATCTGAGACTGCAGCTCGAAGCTGCTTCTTCCACTGGCCCAATCTGACTATCTGAGCTGAAAGTGGAAGTTACATCTGATTTCATCCTCTGCCCCCCTTCCTCACCCAGTTTTGCTGCATTTGACCAAGAGTTTTAGTTCCCTTGAGCTCAAGAAAGTGAGGATCACTGACTGCAAGAGCCGCAGGGTGTGAAGGCAGGCATGGTACCCCGGAGGAGAAAAAGGTACAAACTGCCCAGTTCAAACCAGAAAAATGGTTCTTTACATGATTTTTAATAATGCCTGAACTCCTAATTCAACAAGGTTGAGCTTTTAACCTAATCAAGCATAAGTAGCTTTTGCCATTAGACAAAAGGAGTCCTCCTGTCCTTTGGATTCCTGTCCTGTCTGAGCTCTCTGCTGGCAGAGGGTTGGGCGCTGGGGCAGCAGCCTGTCTGTCTATGCAAGTTTCCTAGAAGTGTTTTTGAACTGTTTGTTTCAACTAAACAAAAATCTGTTGAGCCCACAGATGTGAAGTGCTGCCAGATGGATTCAGAGAAATTCCCAGCTGAAGAGAGTCTATGAAGTGACCTCTTCAAACCCAATTTGGAGGTTTGGTTTCTCATCACAGCGTTCTTGTCAGGGCCGTCCATTTGGCAGCGTGTGAAATCACATTTCCAAAGTCATTATGCTATTTGGAAGTTTCTCCCAGCAGGAGTTTCTCACTGAAGGCCCAGCACACATCAGTGTTTGAATGCTCTGCTGAGCTTGTCTTTTTCTGTAAAGTGCATGAGACCCAGTTCAGAGACTGTTCCCATGAGGGAGAAAACTCGATGGAGAAGCTGGTGAGGAGGGTTAGCGGGACACGTGTTGTCAACAGGAGCAGAGCAGGACCTTTGCATTTATAGCACCAGATGCTGAGTGATGTGCAGAGCAAGGTGTGCTGCTGCTGCAGACAGCTGGGGTGGCAGGGCTGACCCCCACCAGCCCTGCCTGCCCTCAGGGTGGGATGGACACCCCAAAGCACAGCAGTGCTGGAGCTTTCCTTTGGAACACCTCAGGTGGTGGTCCAGCATCTCCCCAGCTGTGCTGTGTGGCAGCTGATCAAGCTGTATCTGCTAGAGCTCTGTTTGGTTCTTAACATTCCAGCTCAACAAGTTATTCTGTTCTCAGTCTAGATTCATTTTGCAGGAAAACAGGAATTGTTAATCCAAACCTTCATGACTCTGTGTCCTGGCTTTGTGATCAAAAGTCCTTCCCCAGCTGTGCCACCTGACAGTCCTGCACATACTGTATTTATGGCAAATATTTTCTAAAGTGCATCTTTTTTCTGTTTCCTGAAATACAAAACGTTCATGTGCTTTATTTTCTGTGGCCTGTTGTGCAATGGGGGGGAGGGGGGGGGGGGGGGAAAAAAAAGAAGAAGGTTAAAAATGGGTCAACATCTTTTTTGATTGACAAAGGGGCAGTCCCACTGCTGCTGTTAGTGCTGAGAATGCTATTTCCCATGTTGTCTCACAGTTTTCAATAGGACTACCTGGGGAGTAAGGTATTAGAGAGCATAAGCCAAAGTGGCAGCCACTCTCATGAAATGATGGACAGCCACAGAAGGAACATATGTTTTGCCTTGCTGGACTGGGAACCTATTCTGCATTGTTTTAGACTATTTGTGAATAGAGGTTACTCACACAACTATTTTTCTGACCTCTGGCTCCAGACTTGCTCATTTTGCCTGCTTTTAAAGATTCAACACTGGCAAATTCGTCACAAACATTCACTGTAGTGGATTTGGATACTGCATATGGGGGGGGGGGGGGGGGGGGGGGGGGTGGAAAAAAAAGAAGAATGTTAAAAATGTGTCAACATCTTCTTTGTAGTATTTTCTGTGACAAAAGGAAGGAAGAGGGTGTGAAATCCTTTTGTGTAGCAATGGGAAACACCCTTTCAGTGTATCATGCTGTTATTGATACTGTATTTACTGATCAAGCTGTAATGAAATGGTTACTTCCTGATATAGCCTTTGTACTGTCTGGTATCTTATTTTGTCATTTATTGATCCTAAGAAATAAATATCTAAATTTAAGTCTTGAGCTGGTTTAGAGTCCATCCCACTGTGCTCTTAGGAGCAGCAGTGAAGTGCATCCAGCTCCCTTTGGTTGAACCCCTGGGCTTTGAGCTTGTAGAGTTGGAAAAGGCCTCTAAGATGATCAAGTCCAACCGTCAACCCAACACCACCATTCCCACTAAACTATGTCCCAAAGTGCCACATCTACACATTTTTTTCAACACCTCCAGGGATGGTGACTCCACCACTTCCCTGGGCAGCCTGTTCCAATGTTTGACCAGTCTTTCAGCAGAGAAATTTTTCCCAGTATCCAACCTAAATGGACAGGTAGCCATGTGGCACACACAAGCCTGAAATCTGGGAGTGGAGATCTTCTGGGCTTCAAGCAAGACCTGTGCTGCACAGGGGGAGAGATGCTGTGCTGAGATCCAGCTGGTCCTACAGGAAATCTGCTGTTTTCTGGACTCCTGTCTTGCTTTTCTTACCTGCTTGATTTTCCCTGTTGTAGGGCAAAGGTTGAAGACATTTTATCTTGGCCATTATTTCTGCAGCAGCTTTGCCCAGAGCACTGAGCAGATCAGGGCTTTATTGCTCCAGGAGCTGGAGGTGCAGAGTGAAGAAGAAAGTCCTCACCCCAGAGAATTTGTTGCTGACAAACAAAGCAGGTTTACTGTACCTTACACTGAGATTTCGCTTCCTGCCTTCCCCCATCATTTTTCACAACACAGGTGTAATTTTGTGAGAACAGAATACTGGCCACTCCCTGCTAAATTCAAGTACATTGACACCTAATGGGCAAAAACCAGTCACCTTCATTCTCCCTACAGCTCCTGCTTCAAGTTCTGTTGGTAGGTAACTCAGCTGAGAACCAGGACAATCCACAACATCTTCACAGTTTTTAGCCATTTAACCCAATTGTTTTGATTTCTGGCAGAGGGAAACGTTGTTTGGAAAGCAGCAACAACACATGTAAATATTTGGAATCACTTGTGGCTAGAAAATTCATCTTCTAAAGCCTAGCTGGAATGCACTGCCTCTCCAAAAGTGGTTTGGTGCTGCTTGTAGATGAGAAGAGCAGAAGCCTCTGTTGTCCTCATACCATCCATTATTAAAGAATCAAATAACTTATTTTATGGAACTTTTTTTGGGGGGAGGATTTAGCCACGCTCTGCTGAAAGGTACATTTTCAGCCTGCTGCCTCAGGAGCTGCAGTGAGTGCCTTCAGCTGTGAAAAGCCACAATCCATGGCCAGGTCCTTGCTTTCTGGCTGCAGGAGGTGGTTGTGCAGGGCAGGATGCTCCCAGTGGAGTCTCCATTGCTTAAGCAGAGACCCAGACCACCTTCAAGCTGCTGTGAGAAATGTTTCTCTCTGCTCATGACTTCTCTAGCTCGGTGCTGAGCACATGAAAAAGGAAAACCCCAGGGAAGCAGAGCTCGTCACTCCTCCCTTGCAACCCCCCCACCCAATACCACCATGGGGCATCCCATCAGGGCCCAATGATGCAAAGCAAACCAAAAAGCTGCAGAGGGCAAATTAATCTCTTTTTTCCTCTAGGGTTGCACA